GAGGACAAGGCTCCTGACTTTGAGGACAAGGTTATTTAAACTCTGAGGACAAGGTCCTTCACACTTAGGACAAGGTTCCTCACTTTGAGGACAAGGTTATTCAAACTCTGAGGACAAGGTTCTTCACACTGTGGACAAGGTTCCTCACTTTGAGGGCAAGGTTCTTCACTCTGAGGATAAGGTTCTTCGCTCTGAGAACAAAGGTTCCTCACTTTGAGGACAAGGTTCCTCACTCTGAGGACAAGATTCTTCACTCTGAGGACAAGGTTCTTCACTCAGAAGACAAGGTTCCTCACACTGTGGACAAGGTTCCCCACTTTGAGGACAAGGTTATTTAAACTCTGAGAAACCTTGTTGTCACAGTGAGGAACCTTGTCCGCAGAGTGAAGAACCTTGTCCTCATAGTGAAGAACCTTGTCCTCACAGAGAGTAACCTTATCCGCAGAGTGAGGAACCTTGTCCTCAGAGTGAAGAACCTTGTCCTCAGAGTGAAGAACCTTGTCCGCAGAGTGAAGAACCTTGTCCTCATAGTGAAGAACCTTGCCCTTGGAGTGAAGAACCTTGTCCTCATAATGAAGAACCTGGTCCTCAAAGTGAGGAAGCTTGTCCACAGTGTGAGGAACCTTGTCCTCAGCGTCAAGAACCTTGTCCTCAGAGTGAAGAACCTTGTAGTTAGAGTGAAGGACCTTATCCGCAGAGTTTAAATAACCTTGTCCTCAAAGTGAGGAACCTTGTCCACAGTGTGAGAAACCTTGTCCTCAGATTGAAGAACCTTGTCCTCAGTGTGAAGAACCTTGTCCTCAGAATGAAGAACCTTGTCCTCAGAGTAAAGAATCTTGTCCTCAGAGTGACGAACCTTGCCCTCAGAGTGAGGAACCTTTGTCCTCAGAGTGAAGAACCTTGTCCTCAGTGTGAGGAACATTGTCCTCTGGGTGAAAAACCTTGTCCTCAGCGTTAAGAACCTTGTCCTCAGAGAGAAGAATCTTGTCCTGATAGTGAAGAACCTTGTCCCCAGAGTGAAGAACCTTGTCCTCAGAGTGAGGAACCTTGTCCTCAGAGTGAAGAACCTGGTCCTCGGAGTGAATAATCTTGTCGTCAGAGTGAAGGACCTTGTCCTCAAAGTGAGGAACATTGTCCACAATGTGAGGAACCTTGTCCTCAGATTGAAGAACCTTGTCCTCAGTGTGATGAACCTTGTGCGCTGAGTGAAGAACATTGTCCTCGGAGTGAAGAACCTTTTCCTCAGAGTGAATACCCTTGCCCTCAGTGTTAAGAACATTGTCCTCATAGTGAAGAAGCTTGTCCTCCGAGTGAAGAACCTTTTCGTCAGTGTGAGGAACATTGTCCTCAGGGTGAAAAACCTTGTCCTCAGCTTGACGAACCTTGTCCTAAGAGTGAAGAACCTTGTCGTCACAGTGAAGAACCTTGTCATCATAGTGAGGAACCTTGTCCGCAGATTGAAGAACCTTGTCCTCCAAGTGAGGAACCTTGTACTCAGATTGAAGAACCTTGTCTTCAGAGTGACGAACGTTGTCCTCAGAGTGACGAACCTTGTCCTCAGAGTGAAGAAACTTGTCCTCAAAGTGAGGAACCTTGTCCACAGCGTGAGGAACCTTGCCCTCAGCATGAAGAACCTTGTCCTCAGAGTGAAGAACCTTGTCCTCAGGGTGAAGGACCTTGTCCTCAGAGT